CCTCTCCGAGCTAGCCCGTTCCTTTGGCCTGGCCGATGGTTGAGCTACTTCGTCCCTCTAAAGCAAGTCCGTACCTCCAGGCTGAACAAAAAAGACTTTATCTTGCAGACTTTCCTAAGCGAGAGCCACCTAATTTTATTATTGTTATAAATATAAATATAATATATTTTTTTTATACGTACAATATGGATGTTGTATTCAGTCATGGTCAACTTTATGTTGCATTATCTAGAGTTAAAAGTAGGAGAGACTTGAAAATTCTATGTTGCAATAAAGATGAAAAAATTGTAATAAAACTATTAATGTTGTGTAGAAAGAAAAATTTCAAACTTTGAAATAATATCGACTTTGGTATTTTATATTTTTACACTTTTATACAACAACATGTATTTTTTTCTATTATTTTATGTTCTATATTTTTTTTTTCAAACAACTCGTGTAGTACACGGGTGTCGTACTAGTAATACTTTATTTATACATGTGGGAATGAACATGGTTAGTTATTTATATTTTAACCCTTAAAATCTCAAACAAATTAAATGTATATACCCTTAAAAATAATTCAAAATGGAAGTAGATGAAATCATATTTATTGCGACATAATCCCGCTATGAATGTAGATAATATTTGACTTAATTTTTTTCTATATAAACCCACTCAACCCACTCAACCCACTCACACACATCTTAACCCTCAGTATCAAAATCCCCAAATCAAAACCCACCATTTTTCTACATCTTCACCACTCTTCACAAATGTCTCAAAGAGCTAACCGTCACCAGCGCCGACCGTCGCAGGGCGTTTTCGTATTTCCGGACAATCTCACGGCGCCGCTCGCGGAGGAAATCGCTCCCTCGCCGCCCGCCGCTCAAGCTCCGCATCAGCCGCAGGAGAAGATCAGCGCCGGAGGAGGCGGTTTTCACCTGCCGCCGCAGCCGCCGGCGAAGGCGGCGGAGGGAATGCCGATCTCCGATCGTCCGGGCAAATGATTTCCGGTCTATTCAGCTCCGATGATGGTGCACTCAGATTATGAAATAAAAATCAGGAGGTTTCTGAATGAAGTTGAATGCTTGTATTTTAATTATATCTTTTGCTAAAAAAATTATATCTTTTGCTAAAGAAATGAAAAAATAGTGTAAGCTACAGAGCTTAAAGCAACATATATGGCAAAATTATATTATTTTGTTCTTCTTCTTGTTGATTGCTGATATATATGTTACCGATTTTTCATTTTATTCCGTGCNTGAAGCATTCTTTCGTGATCTGATCTTGTTTGGTTTATTTTAAAAAAGATGGATAATATTTATCAAAATAAAAACATTTTTTTTGTCTCTTGTGTATAAAAAATGAGATAAAGAACAGAGGTTATGTTTTGGTTGTGTAGTGTCTCGTTTGCAGACTAATGGTTAAACCCATTAACATAATTTAATATTCAAAACTTAAGGAAACAAATAAAAGAATAATATTTCATAATATAATTATATATATACACTTTTGTTACAAAATTATCAACCGCTAACCATTAATTAGTCAACATAACAGCACAATTTGTGTTCCTATAAATAATTTGAAGGAAACAAAATAAGCGGTGGACATATTAACATGTGGTTACCGCAGGCACGTGAGCATTTCCGATTATATATATATATGTTACAAAAATTATTAACATCTAACCATCGCTTACTCTAGTAAAGCTATAAACGAGTAGAGTTGATATCGAGCTCCATTTCTTATCATTAACGTTAACGAATCGCATAAATTTGAATTACTCTAGTAGAGCTATGAACGAGCAAAATTGAGCTTGGGCACCAATCTTTTATCTAACTAGTTGAAAAATAAATTTAAATTTCTCTTGTTAACTACTCGAGCTCGAATCTTGATATATTAGATTGTAAAAATACCTGTTTATCAAGCGTAACAAGCTTAAGCCAACTTTATACTCTGTCACATAACCAAAGGAAAATTGAAGATTACTACGATTTTTTTTAATAAAAACAATGTACAAACAATTCTTATTTCTCTCTCCCTTTTTTCTTTCTAATTGTATGTTTGTTCATGAACAGTTCCTTTGTCTTCTAATGCATTAAAAGCAACATTATTGCAATATGGTCCTTTTATGAACGTGTAGAGAAAACAATAGAGGAAGAATATATGTGGAGATGTGGACAGACTTTTTCACCGGGGTAATTCATTGACAGTGAAATTTTTTGATAGTGCTGAATCACTGAATTTGTTTATTTTTTTACAAAAANGACTATGATTGCTTTTTGGTTGTAAGTTTAATTAACGCCTACGTGTTTAATCTAAGAGCCAAAGGAATTATTATTACAAAATAATTTTACCTACCTAAGAAAATTTGCAGTCACACGATTTTCATGAGTTACGTTTGGAAGAAGTAACCCGAAGTTTTTAATCACAAATCTAAGTGCCAATGATATTTCGGTTGAGAAAAAAAGGTTACGAATTGACTATTTGGACAAGCAAACTATACGCACAAATTCTCATATGAATTGCTCAAATTATTCGTGAATTGATATGTTAATTTGTTCTTTTAAATAAAAAAATAAATATTTATGGTATTAATATTATACTTTTATTTATCTTATTTTTTAGTAATATAATATTATAATTTAAAAATATGAATATTTATTAAAAAAGTACGACTGTATAATCATTATGATTGAATAACATAATTAGTTAACGACATAAGTTTTACTCATTATATTGTTTAACTTACATATCTATAATTCGTCCAAATCTCATTGCACAATGATATTTTTGTATGTACATATCTCATGACTATCTTCTTATTTTGGAAATGGTTTTGCCAAAATTAATTATTGTTATAACTTTTCTTATTATTAATTTGTTGCTTGTTATAAATATTTAATTTGTAAATTGATCCTTTTTTCTTAGATGATATAATCACAAAGTTGAACACGAGTGGAGTTGAGTTGGACATTCACCTTATTGAGTTAGAACCAAAGTTACATTATTCGTAGCTCAATAAACAAACGTGACATTGTCCGAGCTTTGGCTCCACACTTATTAACAGCTTCTAACCCTGCGCCACAATGCTACTCTATTTCAAAGCAGTGTTAAAAACTTATTTTAATGTTTCACTATATTTCCGTACTACTCTACAAATGTGAATAGTATTGTTCTACATGTAACGTAGACGTGTCCAAATGCTGGGCCGGTTCACGACCTGGCCCAGCCCCACGAGTCGTCGGGCCTATGAACATGAGCCCGAACCTGCCCGGCTATATGTAAGTGACGGTTCATTGAGTCGGCCTGACTCGGCGGTTCTTTGAACCACCAGTTTNAAACAATGCCAAAAACCAGGACCCGTCTTTCGGTCCGGAACCGACGAGCCTAAAAAAAAAACCAAGACCCTGAGCAGGCATGGTATTACCATAGGTCCAGTTCAAGGACCCGTACAAACGGGCCGGCTCCTGGTCAACTGGTCCAACCTTGGTCACGTCTAATACTATTTACCGCGCTATAATTTTTTTTTTCTAAATTTTTTATTATTTAATTGATTTTTATGTTTGAATATTATTTTAATAAAATACACTTCAATAAAATTATTTATTTTGTTAAATAATTTTAGTTTTTGATTTTTTAGTTGTATATAAATTTTATTTTGTTGTAATATATTTCATATAGAGTAAAATGTAGCACCAACTACTGGAAACGAAAGTTAAATTTTGACATACTATATTCTAGAGTATAATAAACTCTACGCTAGAATCGAGCAGATGATTGAAGATGGTTTACATTAGGCGAGCGAATGAGATTGGATACAAAAAAATTCTAAGTTTTGACTCATCGAATAATTATTTTTATTTTATTTTATTTTCTTAACTACGACTGGATACAAAAATTTAACTCAATACCCAACTATATTTTGATCAAAGTTAATTCTCAAAATAACTAATTATTAGTATACAATTTTCAACAAAAATCACTATTCACCTGCTGTACATTCAACCAGTAATTATTTTACTACTTTAATGTCACATGCACATCAACTTCAAGTATTACATTTTAACTCAAAATCAAATCTCAAATTTCATTCAATCAACTTTTTTTAAACTTTTAACTCGTTTTATCCAACAAACCAAATCAAATCCAAAAATCTTTACTTCCAATATACCTAAATTTTATTTTTATTTTCACATTTATGAAGTTTTTATTGTCAATAACAATAATACTAATTTTTAAGGTTTATGAATGGTTGATTTAAAGTTTATTTTAGTCAATAATTTTTAATGTTCATTGTTTATAAAATTTCTTAATTTTAAATAAAGTTTTTCTAAAAATAAAATATAATAATTATGGAAAAATGTTTTAAAATATCGGACGGACTGCTTCGGCCCAAGTAAGTCAAATTCTTTTTATGGGCTTACACACTCCTGCAGCTTAGGACGAATATATTCTCTTCATGGGCTGCTAACTGGAAGCTCCAATTGCCAACTATAGCCACTTTACATCTTTGGAAGAGATTCATATTAGCTCGTCGATAATTAATTTAATATTATTGTTAATTATATATATAACTATATAATTTTAAATATATTAAAACTTTTTTTTTTTAAAAAAATATGGATTGGTCCGATTAACAGTTCGTTTTCTGTTTTTGGTCGGTTAAATCAATCCGTTGTACCAACCCGAATGGTCAACAAACCTGTATCTAGTCCGATCAATGTACCGACTGGTTAGGCCCAATTTTGAAAAAAAAAATTTAATCAAAAAGTAGATAACAATTTGCCAACCAAACAAATTAAAACAAGTGTTAATTAAAGTCATCATCACAAAAGTTGCGTGGAATTAACGCAGTACATAGAGAGAGAATTAGTGGTGGGGCCCATCTTACTTTGCAATATCATATTTTCACCATTCATTTTTTAGAATTTTTCATATTTTGACTTAGGGAAAATGGGAAATATGTAATTTTAGCGAAAGCTTTTAAGTAAATTGAAACTTATATTTGAATCAACTACATTAAGAGCAAAATATATTTATTTACATGAGTCAAATAATTGTTTTACACTATTTACCAAAATCGCAATAAGTCCACACCGGCCGTGCCACTTTCTTTCTCTGTAAAGCTTTACGCGGGTTCAGTCAATGGCTGTAATCCATTTTTTTTTTTTTCAGATAGCTGAAATTACAGTGTAGTGAAAAGTAAAAACCCTACACCATAAGCTAAAACAGAAAGAAGCCTCTATAAAAACCTCTCATATTTTGTTCTTCAACACAAATTCGTCATTCGTATTTTGTGCTCGTGTTTATCTGCCTGAATCAAAAGAACGCCAACAATGGTAAAGTTTGCGTTTCTAAATTCCTTTTGTTTTATTAATTCTCATCCTCAACAAGATTTGCTATCGCATTGCATTTGATCTTACTTTTGTAGTTTGATTGAGTTCTTAATGTGTTGTGATTGATCCGTTGTTTGTGTGGATTTTCGTATGATGAGATGATAATGTTTATTTTATTACTGATTTGAGCTGATTCGTGATTGATCTGATTTGTGGCGAATGTTGCTCTTTGGTCGTTGGTGGTTGATTTCTGAACTGACGTAATGGGAATTTTGTGAAATTGTGTTGAACTCTGGTAATATAATCGAGTTCAACTCGTGTCTGCTGAAATAATGGAGCTCAAAATCGTGGTAGTTGAGGATGGATTGACCTGAAGATGTAGGTTCTCTGTTCAAATTGGATTTGATGGAAGGCTAATCTCGGATTAATGAGATATTGTCGTTGCTTTTTATGTGATCTCAGTAATTTTTATCAGTTATTTAGATGTCGAATTGAATTTGAATATTTATCTTTGTTTCTGAACCGAGCTAATGAAAAACTTGCGAATTGTGTTGAACTCTTGTCGTGTTTACCAGAATAATCGAGCTCAAAATCATGATAGGTGATGATGGATTGACCCGACTCTGTTGGTTCTATGTTCGACCTTGATTGATGAAAGGCTAATCTCTCATTGATGAGATATTGTTGCTCTGTGTGATCTCAGTAATTTTTATCGGTTATCAAGATTTTGGTAGAATTTGTATCCATCACAAATGATTTTCACCTTTTTATTTGTGTGCCCATTTGGTGGTTGATTGATATGATTACCTCTATTTCATTTGGTTTCTGACTGAGTGTGTTTCAATCTAGTTTGGTTCGTTTGCTATAATTGCGGTGGTTGATTGCCATGGGCAACTACATGATAAATTTTAATAGAATTTTTTGAAATAACATTTTGGTCTCTCTTTTTCTTGAATGTTGGAGGATACTGAAGGGGAGGAGGGGTAGTAAGATATTTTTTTGGATGTTCTATTGATTGTTATTTTATACCTCTGCAATTTGTTTATACACGAGAATTTTATTTTTATTTTTTTATTTTTCGCGTGACCGTCTTATTATCTCTGATTGTTAGATGGGGCTAAAACTAGTAATATTTCGTTCACCAAGTGACAGCCGTGTGGGATTGATTTGTAGGCAAACGCAGCATCTGGTATGGCCGTGCACGATGACTGCAAGCTGAGGTTCCTGGAGCTGAAGGCGAAAAGGACTTACCGATTTATTATCTATAAGATAGAGGAGAAACAGAAGCAAGTTGTGGTTGAAAAAGTTGGCGAGCCGACTCAAAGTTATGACGACTTTTCTGCTTGTCTTCCTGCCGACGAATGTCGATATGCTGTCTATGATTTTGACTTTGTGACGGCCGAGAATTGCCAGAAAAGCAAGATTTTCTTCATTGCTTGGTAATTATCTGTACTCTATCTCTAAGTACTCTACCTACTGTTTATACCACCTATGAGTCAAAACATATCTGCCAGAAAATAGGAGTTTTCTTTAGATGTTACAGAAACCCCTTTGACGTATGCCTCTAATTTGGAAATTGCACCAATAAATCGATTGACTTTGTAACAAATGTGGTTACCTCACTCCTCAGGTATTTAAGGTGGGAATTTGGGCAGCATATGATTGGATATCATGAACATGACATGAAATTATATTGTTTAGACTGCTTTTATGGGTTAAGGCTGGTGCAATAACTAATTAGTTTCATTTACAAATTTTTACTCTGTTCTGGGGTTTCTAATCCGTAGTTTATGATTGATTATTTGGAAATGAGCCTAATGGGCCTGACAGAGTTGATTATATAAATTTGATGCTTTTGCATATTGTGCATATCGTCTCGTGCCATGCATTCTGTGCGTTTATCATGTTCTATTAGAATTAGAGTTTAATATCTTCCAGGCCTAACAACGTACAAGGCATGAAAGCCCTAAGGGCATATGGAGTTTAAAAGATAAACTTTATTTTTATTGGTAATTAGGGTGAAATCTATAATTGGATAGACTGGTTTATTTGCTTGGTTGCTTTCCATTGAAGGTCACCCGATACTGCAAGGATCCGAAACAAGATGATTTATGCTAGCTCGAAGGACAGATTCAAGAGGGAGCTGGATGGGATTCAAGTTGAATTGCAAGCAACCGATCCAACTGAAATGGGCCTCGACGTTATCAAGAGCCGTGCTAACTAAGTGAAAAGTTTTCAGGCGTTTTGCTGCAGATTTGATCTGTGCAGTGACCTTTTTTTAATTGAAAATGGAATATGCCTATTGCTGAAGATTTGATCGTGCAGTGACCTTTTCACTTGAAAATGGAATATGCATATAGTTTGTTGGGTTGTAAACTTGGATTTGAGTGTTCGTCAAATATTTTGATATATACTGTTTCTCATATTTTGTCGGGATTTAACGTTATTCTTGTACTTTAGATATTGATCATCTGGTGTTCCTTTTGTAATCTGGTGAGCTACAAAGCTTATATGTAACAATCTGTGAGTGGGTAAGCTCTCTTAGCCTAGTTTCAGCATTGAATGGATATGTTTTAACTCTTGGTTTTCCTTTTGAATGCAAATTTAAATGCTTTTACCTTCTGTTAACCATCTCGAGCAGTTTTGTCTATGGAAAAAAATAAAAAATAAAAATTACAATGGTATTGATTTATATTTCAATTTATTTCCTTTATTCCCTGAAGGATTAGAAGTGGGGGGTGTGTGAGCTCTTTGTTTTCTTTTGTTCTATGGAGGTGTGAGCAAATGGTTGGATTGTTGCTATATTTCGAAGTAATGAAAGCCGATAACATAAATTTTTTGTACAAGGCAGACTACTAACATAAATTTTTTGTACAAGGCAGACTAACTAACCGTTAAGCAGTCAATTCGTCATACTTTGTGAAGAAAAAATTATACTTGTGCTGACATACTTCTATTTATATTATTTTTTACCATGACATTTTTAATGGAAGAACTGTAAACAGTACCTGCTTTTATTGAACAATAGTTACTGAATTCTATTCTTATATGCAAAGAAAGATCTTACAAGCATTTTAATGCTGTGGTTGATTCTGCTTTTATTGCACAATAGTAACTGTTTATATCCTAGGTTGATGTTTTATAGGTTGAGTGATAGGAGGGAGCCAATGCATAGCATTAAGATTGATTAATCACTAGCTCTATCCATGATTGAACTTCCAAAATACCTCAAATTCATAAGCTATTCATTTTTTTTTTCCCAAGTAAAATACTAAATAGAAAATTGCAGAACACAATTTGTCTCTGAACATGAGATCACTAGACTTTCCATAGGCCAACAAAGCAATTTCAGTTTCTTTTAGCTGCATGAACCAAGCTGCAGCTAAAATCCCAGAGTCTCTTGGCCAAATCCTCATTTCTCGCGAATCTGCTAAGCTTGAATTCATTACAGTCGACAAAATACTTTCCCGTTTCGCCTTTCAAGCTCGGGTGAAGAGCAGCATAACACGTCGTGGCTGCCCCCTGGAGAAATCGACACCAGAAAAATTTAGAGTCTAAGTAGATTTATTTTTATTATTTTTTTAAAATTTCTTCTCATTCTAATCGAATAATTGTTACCTGAGGGATGTTCTTCCACAGTAAATAAGTGGCAAGCCTCAAGATCTCTACATAAAAATCATAGTTGTAGGCTTTATATCATGTAAAAGAACCGGGAGAAAGAGAAAAATTCGAAAGCGATAATTTAATATAACCGTCACTTACTAACTAGTAATCCAGAATATCGAAAAAGATTCGTGTTTATAAGTCCTGGATGCACCGAGTTCACCGTAATATTAGCTCCCTCCTTCTGAAAACCATGCTCAATATACAAGTTAGGACAACTTAATTATGATCTTACCGAAATAAAAAAAATACTTATTCAACAAATCGTCATACGAACACGAGTCGAAAGTTAGTTACCTGCAGGCGCTGTGAAAGTTCATTGGCATGCAATAGATTGGCCAGTTTGGACTGCCCATATGCTTTTTTATCATCATAACTGTCTTAGCAAAAACCAATAATTCAAATAAAAAAAAAAAGATTGGATTTTTTTTAATCAAATGGTGATAAAAAATGTTCTACTCTGTTACACAATTTAACAAAAACTTTACCTGCTTTCATCATTAATCTGATCAAACCTGATCCCTTCTTCGTACGAATGAAGATGTGCTATCGACGACAAATTTACGATTCTACCCTCGATGCCCATAGATTTCACCGTGTCCTTCATCTTTTCGAGCAGTAGGTTTGTCAAGTAGAAGTGGCCTAGCAACAAAAAACATTTTTTTTAAAAAAAAAGAAAAAAAATATATATATATATATATATATAT